GCCAGTCAAATCATATAGTGCGCCAGTAGGATATTAATTGATAAAGTCAAAATCTTTCTCTAGCTATAGACTAGCTATTCCGCATTGCCCTCTCCACCTAGGCGAAAGATAGGGCGTCAGGCGAGCGCAATTGGATTTTTCCGAACAAGCCTCAAGCTTGAATGAGCTCAAATCATATAGTGCGCATGCCCGATGGATGGAATCTGTCGAAGGCCTTTTCTTTGCCTAGTACAATGATCAAAGATAACATTATGACATGTTTGGTAAAAAATCTTAGCAAAACTGCAATTCATGTTTGATAACAACAGAATCCAATTCAAAGAGCTGAAAAAAAGATAGAGGGTAAACAGTTTTATACCTCAGAGGCTCGTAAGTGTTTGTATCAATGTTGACAATCTTATCTCCTGATTCCAAGTCCACAAGTACATCATATACCTGCTGCAGAAATTAAAAATAGATAAATTGTATAAATAGATGTTTTAGTTAAAATGAATATCTAGAACAAGGACTACTCTCTGCCGAAAAGATCAAAGACTTCTCACAGTGTCAGATGTTGACACAGATGGCAGTGATCAGGCACAACTGCATCACTTATTTGAACAGAAGCAGGTTTACTGCTTGGTCTGTCAGAGGAGGATGCTGGTAGAACAGCAAACTGCATTACTGGTGCAAGTAATGCATTAAGAAATGTTCTTAATCCAAAGCCAAAAATGATTCCAAAGTTTGTCACAACTTCAGATACAAGAAAAAATCTTTTTCAATTTACTCACATTGCAAAACAGCTTATTAAATAAAAGGTTCATCAATCTGTGAAAACTCAAAATTATCAAAAGTTTCTTATAAATTTTGTCCCTAACAAATTAAGAACAGTAATAAAATCATTTAAGGAGACAAAAGCAGGAATTGGTCCACTGATCCACAGTAATGATCTAGAATGCCACTGGTAAATTGACAGCCAAGAAGGACTTTCTACAAATTGACAGCCAAGGACTTTCTAAATAAGAGGAATCAAAATACTCAAAATGAGAAATGCAATCTAATTGAACATTCACACTGAAATTTCTGAACACAAACAGTTGTTAAAATGATTTCGACTCCTGTAGAAGTATTTCAGATCGCATCAGGCCACAAACAGGGAAGCATTGGAACATGTAAATCATTACAAACCAACCCTATTTCTAAACAGGCTTGCCAGATGCTAGACGAAGTGGAAAGGTTTACAATATATCATTTAAAATGCACTTCAGAATTTATATAATGAGAGGGGAAACTAACACAAACTCATTTGACAGTATCTAAGAGAAGGAAGAAATAAATGCAAACTTGATCAAAATATATTTAAAAGAAGAAGGAGAAATATAAATTCATGCTCTCAGAAAAGGGCCAACTATTAACTGCAGAAAAATCCTTTAATGAATACACTTGAAAACACTGATTCTAGACGAACTTTCGGGACAACTTATTATCAAGACTTAGTTACATAGATAAATTTGATCATTTTTAAATCAAAATATTAGAACAGGAAATTCAATGGCAGTTAGGCTAAACAAAATTTACAACGACATGAATTAGATAAAAAGCTTAAGCACATAAGCAGCCGATATCCATAAATGATTTCTCGATGCTCAAAAATAGACGATATGGCAGATTAAAGATTCAAAGCAAAGCTAGAACTCATTGTTAGCTAATTATTTTTTAGAGAAAATTAAATGGTTAGTACTTAGGATAGAAATTTAAACCCGAAGGCATGACATACAAATGTGAGCTTAAATGATCCCAAAACATGAAAATTAAGCTACTATGTGCATTTGTAAAGCAGAATTTTTTCTTCAGCCTATTAACACTAGAACTTTCTTCAAATGTTCAAAAAGCAAAGTGGACAAATAAACAAAAAAAAACTAGCCCTTTACCTAATCGCAGTCGCTAGCTCATTTCTCTACCAAATCGGAGAAAGCTGACCTCACGATTCGTTACTGCATGTACTACTTGTCTCATCTTTTAAGACCATTTTATCCAAACATAGGAGAAATTGCTTCGCTATGATGTCCATTGTAAGAAGTCATTATGAGCTGCCAAGCAAGTAACCGATTCACTCACATTGCCAAATTTCAAGGAGTTCTTTTGTTTAATATAAGGTTATCCCAACTGGACCTTTACAAGATAGTTAAGAAGAAAGGTGTTGAACGTTCCACTAGCACTCATGGAAATTGTATAAAAAGAGAATCAAGAAAGGTTTGTAGGATAGGGAACAGTTTTATAGATTTGGGGAATAATCTCTAATTTGTTACGTATTTATTTAGGATGCATCCACCACGTTCCAATTTGAATAGAATGAGGAATAGTCTCCTAACTCGCTTTGTCAAAAGAAGCAGAATGAAAATCTGAACTTCTAAAAGAATATAAAAAAGCTTGGTAGATTACACTTCAAATGATAGACACAATTGGTAGGCCTCCAGGAATAGGTTTGTTATGATGCAGATACAATTGTATGATTCGAGATATTAGAAAGTACCAGTCGTTTCTTAGCCGCTCCAGCATTCAATTTTCCGGTCTGATTATTCTCCAACCCTGGTGAATTCGCCGCCATTGCTTGTCTCTTCGCCACAGATGAACGCCTTTTCATCACCCTGTTCTTCAAGAGAATGAAGAAGAAGTTGTTATTCTTCAAGAAAACGAAGAAGAAGCGGATTTGAATGACTCGATTTAGGTATCCGTTAGGAGCGGACAACGGAAGGATCAACACTTTGAAGGGATTCGTTCTTGAATTAGAAAAAAGCTCGCGCTTCCCCTTTGTTTATACTTTTTATTTTTTGGAAAAGATAAATTCAAATTATAAGTAGTAATTATATGGTAATTGACGGATTATATTAATAGAAATATATTTTGTTAGAAGGAATGAAATATGTGACCTTATACTAGGTTTAGTACATTTGAATTGAATTTGAAAGCAATGTTTGAATTTAAAGTTAGAAAAAGAAATTTATTAAAGTCAAATTATGAGTAAGCATGAACAATAACATATTCGGTGAAATCTCACGAGTTAGCTAGATCCAAAGAAGATGGTGTGTTAGTTTTGTTTCAAAATTTTAAAATTATAATTGGTGATTATTTTGAATTAGTTTTTTGTTTATTAAACTTACCACATTTGGAAAAAAAAAAGCTTCATGAAGTTCATTCACAAAAAAATTGAACTGTATTTTCGCGTCCAAACACAATAAAAAGGATGATATATTTTAGGTCTTATCTCTAAGTACTTATATTTCAATTTATGTGAGACATTTTTAATTTATTTAATTCTAAAAAGAATGATTTATTTTTTCTTGATTGACAAATATTTAATGAAATTATCAATTTTGCTCATATTAGGTCTCACTAATTTGAGAAAAAGTTCACAAATGTCATTCTTATATTTAAAAATCCATATCTTAAAGATAGTTTTAAAAAAATATATTTTTTCCATAGTTCTTAATATTCATGTTCAGTCAATTTACATAAATTATATAAATTAGAACAGATGAAGTAATTACTATGAATAATTTGTCCTATGGTTCGGATTGAGACTCTACAAACTTTCTATAAATAGTTGATTTATATTCTTTTGGAGGTTTTATTTCTCTTAAAATAATTCTAAAAATTAAAGTGTATGTTACGTTTCTACATCCTCTATATTGTTATTCTTGGAGTTAATTTCCGTTAATTGCATTCTAAAATTACTTTTGTTTCATAAATGTCGGCCAAGAGAGAAGAATGTCTTTGAAGTGTTTAATATATTTTGAGAAAAATAGAAATAGTTGAATGTTATTTTTATTCAAAAAGAAACACAAATAATTTTTATAGACAATTCTCAAAATACGAGTGATCATCCACGCAAATAACTCGTTAACTGAAATGCAAATAACTCGTTAATTAAAATGCAAAACTTCTTTTCTCAAAAAGAAGTAATTCTCCCTTAGTCTCAACATATATGATATACGTCAATGTCATATTTTATATTGATTAAAAACAATTTAACTTTTAACCTTAGTGAAATGATTCATAGTCATAGATATATCTAAGATTTGTTTTAGACAACAAATTTCAAAAATATTTTATTTTTAAAAAAATTATGTTAAATTAAACGATACGATATAAATTGAGACGGATTAATATTGTATATATAGTACGACATTTTGTCATACTATTTGAATTGATACTTCAAAAAAAACTCAAGAAAGTTTTATCATTTTTGTTGGTTCTTGCTCTTTAGGAAGTCCAAATATAATAAATCAAATATTTATCCAATGTACGATGCGGAAAAAGTTATAAACATCGTTTTGCCAATAAAGAAAATGAAAATCTGTAGATTCTTTCTACTTTGAAAAAGTAATAATTCAAACAATGTTGACCCAATAAATTGCTAGTAGTAATTTGTTAAGTAGTAGACATATGCTTCAACTTATTTGTCTTTTTTTTTAGTTTATTTTAAGATGCTTTTTTTGAAACTCTTTAATTCTAATTTTTCACGTGACATATTTTGAGATCACAAAATTAAAGGATATTTTGATATATTCTACTTATTTTTAGTTTAAGATCGTAAGATTAAAAAAAAAATTAAAATTTTCTTAAACTTCGTACCAAGTTAAAATCAATAACATTGAAACTGTGAAAGTAATGTTTGTGTGAAATTAGGAATACTTGTTTTTTTTTACAACCAGCACGCTAGATAAATTATATTAATGCATACAAAGGTTCAAAGAGTTAAAAGATGTGATAGCATCACTTATAATCCATGGGAAAGTAGAGAGCCAAACAACTTTGCATACTAACAAAATAGAAAATTTTGCTAAATTATGTGCTACTAAATTCCAAGACCTTGGAATATGCATCACATTAACCACTTCAAAGTACTTCATAAGGTTCTAAATGTCTTCACAAGTAGTCTCTATCTCCCATGAGACTATAGTTCTTTATAGTACCATATCCACCACATTTTTTGCATATGATAAGATTTGCACCTTTGTCTACCCCTTTTCTCTAGCATTCTCCATCGCCATACGAATTGCAATTGCTTCAGCAGTAATGGCTTTCCCAACATATTGAATTGGGGTACCAAAGTAATGAAGCAGGTTACCATAGCTATCCATTGCCACCACACCAATGTTTGTCGTCTTCTTTTCCTTATGTACACTAGCATCCGCAAACACAACAATATCATTTTGTGCCATAGTTATATTTCTATCATCATTACAAGCAGGTATAACTATAGGGGAAAATAGAGGGATCAAATTGCTTTCATATTCATGGAAATCAAAAAGAGCTTTGTTAACAATATCATTAGGATTAGAAATTTCTCCATTGAAACTCTTCGAATTTCTAGCCTTCCAAATTTGCCACATAATAGAGAAACTCAATTTAATAAGCTCAATAGAGTCTGGGTATTTTTTAACATTTGTAAAAAGATCATTCCACCAACCAGCAAAATCCACAATATTTTCTAAATTAGGCCAATTAATGGGGCAAATTTTCCAAACTAATTGAGCACTAGGACACCTAAAAAGCATGTGATCAATCGTTTCACTCTCAAGTCCACAACCCTTATACACTCCACAAATATGCCTCATTCTCCTAGAAATAATGTGGTTGATCAGTAACACATTCAAAATACATTTCCGAATAAAGTGCTTATACTTGTTTTTAATATTCATAGACAATAAAAAATTTCAGAATTCTTTTGAGAAAAACTGATTACTAGATTGGGCTCTCTCGTTACTCACTTGTTCACATCTAATCATTTCCCTCGCTAAGTGGTATCCTGATTTAACCTCATACTTCCCAGACTTGGTATGGTGCCAAATAATCTTATCTGATGAACATGTGGTTGAAATAGGTATAGAGACTATTGTATGGAAATCATTTGGGCAAAAATAATTTTGAAGTTCATCCAATTTCCATGTATGGGTACTTTCCTCTATAAGATCATTCACTCTCAACTCGACATCTATTTGAGCATGCATCGGACTAGGTTTGAATCCACTAGAGTTAGGAATCCACGGGTATGTCCACACTTTAATACTTTCTCCAGAGCCTACCCTCCATCTAATGCCCTTTTGTAAGAGATCTCTACCCCAAATAATGTTTTTCCACATCCACGAACTATTAGATGAACAAGTGGCTTTAAGGAAGGAAGTATAGGGAAAATATTTACCCTTCAGGATTTTAAAAAGTAATGAATCTTCTTGGGTCAAAATTCGCTAAGCAAGCTTTGCCAACAACGCTTGATTAAACGACTTTAAATCTCTAAAGCCTATTCCAACTTTAAACTTTGCTAAACATAGATTTTCCCATTTTTCAAAGTGCATCTTCCTTTTATCCTTATCATGCCCCCACCAGAAATTAGAGAAGATAGTCGTAATCTCTTTACATAAGGAATTCGGAAATTGAAAACAGGATAACGCATAAGATGGAATTGCAGATAATATAGATTTAAGCATCACTTCTTTCCCTGCCGGACTTAAGAAGTTATTTTTCCACCCTTTTATTTTGGATTTCACCATATATTTAATAAACTCTAGCATTTTTTTCTTTGATCTTCCAACTACCGCAGGCAGCCCCAAATATAATCCTAAGTTATTCCTTTGTAGTTGTCCTAACACTTCATTAATACTATCTTTTTCAATATTAAAACAATTTTTACTAAAGAAAATAGCAGATTTAGTGAAGTTCACCTTTTGTCCCGAACACTTTCCATAAATTTTTAACATTTCAGAAATTTTTTGAGGGTTTTGAATATTCGCATTACAAAAGATAAAGGAGTCATCAGCAAAAAATAAGTGATTAATAATATGCCCCCCTTTACTTAAGCTTAACCCTTGTATATCCCCACATAACTCCGTATGATTTAAGAGTCTGAAAAGACCTTCAGCACATAAGAGGAAGAGATATGGAGAAAGTGGATCTCCTTGCCTTAATCCTCTAGTAGGTTTCACCTCTCCCGATATGTCCTCATTAATATTAAATTTATATGTTGGGGTAGTGATGCATTGCATAATCCAGTTAATAAAAGTTTCATGGAAACCCATTTTAGCAAGTAATTTTTGAATATAAACCCACTCAACTCGATCATAAACTTTAGCCATAGCTAGCTTAAGGGCTATATATTTTTGTTTTTCACGTCTTTTATTTTTAAGAAGATGAATGGACTCATGTGCTAGAACAACATTATCTACTATTTGTCGTTTTCCAAAAAAAGCATATTGATTTGGAGAAATAATATTGGGCAGGTAACCTTTAAGTCTCTTAACAATAATTTTGTACATTGTAGAGCATAAGCTTATGGATCGAAATTGACTTACATCACTATGATTTTTCACTTTAGGGATCAAAGTTATGAGAGTTTGGTTCCAAGAAGGTAGCAAATATCCTAAATTAAAAAGGCTTTTTACAGCTTCACAAATATCAGCGGAGATAATATTCCAATACTTTTGAAAGAAAAAGGGTGTCATCCCGTCTACTCCTGGAGCTTTTAATGGATGCATATCAAAAACAGCTTGTTTAATTTCCTCGTTTGTTACTCCTCTAGTAAGCATATCATTAACCGAATTATCTACTAAGGTAGGAACTAGATTAAGAACGTGATCAAAGTTCATAGGTCGGGAAGTAGTGAATAAATTTTTATAAAATCTTTCTACTTCTATTACAATATCACTATGATCGGAAATCCTACGTCCATCATCTAAAGTAAGCCTCTTAATATTGTTACACTTACTCCTCTGAATCGTTTTCATATGAAAAAAAGAAGTATTCTTAGCGCCTTCTTGAAGCCATAAAGCTCTAGATTTTTGTTTCCAATAGGCGTCTTCATCCTTATACACCTGTCAAATTAGGAATACTTGTTGCATAGACGAAAAATAACAAAGATAATTTCTTATTTTTAAGATAGGTTTGAAATAGACATTTAAATTAGGAGTTGATATAGTTTAAACAAAATCAAAACCCTAATTTTTTGAATAGTTGATTTGCATTTTGAAATCAAGTTAAAGTTATATATATATCTTATCTTAATACTAATTGCAATACTCTACTAATCAATCAATATACTCATTAGGCAAGATGACATATGCTAAAAAACCTCATATATATATATATACTAGACACAAGTGCAAGTGCAGTGTCTATACTAGTACGGGCCAAATATCTGTTATTTTTTTGTCTCACTTTATGTGACATAGATAAAATTTAGAGAGTCAATTAAATTTAATATGATTTTTAAATATTTTATGTTGTTATTATTGTAATTTATAGTACTTTTTTACGGAATTTTTAAATAATGTATGTTACTTCCCTTGTCACAATATATATATATATATATGTGTGTGTGTGTGTGTAGCGCAAATAGAATTTCAAGAGTTAATATGTTGTTAATTATTGAGATTTACAATACTTTTTACGTGGTTTTCAAATTAAATAATACATGTTACTTCTTTTGTCCCATTTTATGTGACACAAATAGATTAATTTTATGAATCAATTGAACTCTTTTTCATAAGAAATTGAATTTTTAATATGTTTTTTTAAAATATTTTATGTTGTCAATAATCATGATTTATAGTATTTTTTACGCAATTTTTAAATATACAAAAAAAGATTCAAAAATAAGACAAACAAATTAAAACGGAGGAAAAAAGTAGACAAATATATTTGTAAGAGTGGAACCACACAGGTGAAGCAGGCATGTTGACTGTCACCCGTGTGGTTATCCACACTTATAGATAAGTAGTAGATATATCTTTATGAAGACCTCCGTAATGAGTTGGGGAAGCATTGTGTAGTCCCACCATTTTATAACGCCTATTGGCTTTAAAAATGGTGTGAGTACATGTGTTAGTTCCCAAACTAATTACGTAGGTCCTCGTAAAGTTTTTTTATAAAAAAATATGGGTGTTCCGAGGTACTAGATCAATGAGCTACTACACACGAAAAATAGGATAATTCCTAAAAGAGAATGGGCCTGTAAATGCGGAAGTAGGAGTTAAAAATGGTGTGAATATACATGATGGTTCCCTTAGTCATTACAGAGCTCCTCTTAAAGTTTTTTCAGGAAAAAAAAAATTGGGTGCTCCTAGGTACCAGATTCATGGGCTAATACACACGAAAAATCGAGAAATTTTGGTAATTCCTAAAAAAGGCCTATAAATGCGGGTATAGGTGTCAAAAAATGGTGTGAGTATACGTGTTGGTTCCCTAACTTATTATGGAGGTCCTCATAAAGTTTTTTCAGAAAAAAAATTTGGGTCATCCGAGGCGCCAGACGCATGGGCTAATACATACGAAAAATCAAGAAATTTGAATAATTCCTAAAGAGGGGCCTGTAAATGCAGAAATAAGCGTTAAAAAATGGTGTGTGTATACTTGGTGGTTCCCCAACTCATCATAGGGGTTTTCATAAAAACATTTTGGGTGCTCCGAGGCGCTAGATCTATGGTTAATACACACGAAAAATCGAGGAATTTGGATAATTCCTAAAAAAGGGCTTGTAAATGCGTAAATAGACGTTAAAAATGGTGTGAGTATATGTGGTGGTTCCCCAACTAATTACGGAGGTCCTCATAACGATTTTTCATAACAAAATTATGGGTGCTCCGAGGCGCCAGGTCAATGGGCAAATACACACAAAAAATCAAGGAATTTGGGTAATTTCTAAAAAAATTGGGCCTATAAATGCGGAAATATGCGATAAAAATGGTGTGAGTATACGTGGTGGTTCCCCGACTCATACGGAGCTCCTCATAAAGTTTTTTCAGAAAAAAAAATAAATTAGTGCTCCTAGGCGCCAAATTCATGGGCATTAACACAAGAAAAATAAAAAAAAATTGGGTAATTCCTAAAAGAGGGTCTATAAATGGGGAAATAGGTGTTAAAAAATGGTGTGATTATATGTGTTGGTTCCCCAACTCATACGAAGGTCCTCAAATGGGTGCTCTAAGGCGCCATATCCATGGTCTAATACAGATGAAAAATCGAGTAAATTTGGATAGTTCCTAAAAAAAGGTCTATAAATGTAGAAATAGGCATTAAAAAAAGGGTGTGAGTACACATGATGGTTCCCCAACTCATAATTCCGCATGAACCCTCTGAGTTGAAAATTCTTGAAATTAGTAGTATCATTGAAGTTCTTGAGTTCCAAGTATTTGAGTCTATCTATGGTTATTGAAAATATTGCATTGAGTATTTCAAGTCCATAATTCGGTGTGAACCATATTTTTAAGAAGTCTTTTACAAATGTTTTAACTTGGTTTTAAGACTTAAGTTTTGAGTTCAGTAAAGAGTAAAATTGAAGTTCTTTTCTTCAA